ATAAGATCACAATCTGTCCCCACCCAAATGAAGAATGAATGTTGTGTACTATTTTACTCTTATGTATTGTTTTATGTTTATTGTCTATACCCCCCTTCCCTATTTTATGTAAGCCACCCTGAGTCCCCGCGGGGAAAAGGGCGGCCTATAAATATTAATAAAATATTTAAAAAAATATAAATATAAAAGCTGGCTCATACCCTTAAATATCCCATTATAACCACCATGGACTTCTCCATTGTCTGATATTTCTTCAAGATGTGCTCCTTGATCTGAAGTGAAATATACAAGAGTATGCTCGCTTAAGTTCCATTGATCTAATACTTGGAGAATCTGTCCTGTAAAATATATGATGAAAAGAAGAAAACATTTTCTTTCAAAATACAGTACAACTTTTGAAAAGGAAAGTTACATTTATAATATCACCATGTATAAGGAAAAACTCTATAGAAAGACTCCTAGGAGACTTGAAAACAAAATAATGCATATAACTGGTTTGACTAATTTGGGTTTTTTCTGAAACATAAAATCGAATTTATCTAATTTAAGAAAAGACATTCTGAATTCAAGCCATCTCTTTGGATACCTGGAATTTTTAAATATTTTTTATAATTTTATTGGTTTGCAAAAAAGACATAAAGTTAAAAGATAAGCAAACAGAAAATTAGAAAAAGAAAAAAGACTGAGAAAAGAATGAAAGGAAAAGGAAAAACTGCTTCAGGAAATTCCTTATGTAATTTTTTCACATTCCTAATTAAAGTATGATATAATTAATAAGAAAATATAAGAACTATAGATAATTAGGCAATAATCCTATATTAGCCTGCCTGGAATTTCTAGAAAAATTAAACAAATCAACAGGGCTATAAACAAATTTTTAATGCTTCATTATTTAAATTTAATCAAGAAAAACTCATTGTCAAGGCTGATTTGCTCTGTATTCTTTTTCCTTTTTCGAAGATTGGAACTACATCATTTCTTTTCCAGTCCTTTGGTAGTTCCCTGGTGGCTCCAATTCTTTGAAAGATGTAGTTCAGTGGTTCTGAGATCACATCAGCCTGTTCCTTCAGAACCTTGGGATATAATCCATCTGGCCCTGGTGATTTGAACTAGTCTAGGATGGACAGGTGCTCACTTACCATTCCTAATTTGTTTTTATGGTACTGTTTATGATAGGTTGGACTGTTTTTAACTTTTGTTTAAAGATGGACACAAAAAACAAGTTAAGCTGTTCTCCCTGTTGCTTGTCACCTTCTTGCCACTTTCTCCTATTAATGGACCAATAGTTTCCCTGACCTTTTTCTTGTTTTTTATATGTTGAAAGAAGGTCTTTTTGTTATTTTTGACTTTTGTTGAAAGCCTTAGTTCATTTTGAGACTATTTGCTGATATTCTGTCTTAGTTTTGTGCACCTTTCCACTTTTTATACTATATTCTTTTTGTATTTCAATTTATCAGAGAGTTCTTTGTGCAGCATGCTGGTTTCTTTTCTGAGTTGTTATTTTTCTTCATTGATATTATGCTAGACAATGGTAGACTTTTATAATCTCACTTTTCAAAATTTCTCAAGTTTCTTGAGTGGTTTTCCTTTTGAGGATTCTCATCCATGGAATCCTTCCCAAGCTATCTCTAAGTTTATTTAAATTGGCTCTTTTAAAGTCCAAGACTTTACTTTGACTTTGTTCTATTGCTTGTGCTTGCATAATGTTAAATTCCAATATTGGATGATCACTTTGCCCCAAAATTCTTGTAGCTTCAACACTGTCTATCATTTCATCTCTGTTAGTCCAATATGGTTGGTACCCTAGTTTCCTTCTCTACTTTTTGGGAGGAAACTTCATTTGCTAGGTTTGTCAGGAATCTGTTTGATCTTCCACTTGGTGCAGAGCAGGGGTGGGTTGTTGCCGGTCCCTGCCGGTTCTCGCGAACCGGTTGGTCACCGGACCCAGAAGTAAGCCTGCCCTGCCCCCAGCCCTGTATACCTGTCCCGGCCGGCCGGTATTTTGTCCCTTCTGTCTCCCCGTTGCTCAGAAAA